GACTCTGGATCGGAATTTAAAAGCGAGTTTAAAAAGTTAATGACGAAAAATAAAGTAGAAATTCAAGTGGGCGAGCCGGGTACTCATAGGTCGCAGGGGATCGTGGAAAGGTTTAACCGTACTTTAGCTGAAAGGTTATTCGGTCATCAATACGCTCAAGAAATGTTAAACGTGGGTGAGCGAAACGTGGAATGGGTAGAACGTTTGCCTCAAGTCGTAAAAGCGTTACACAAGGAAGCTATCAAATTAGACCGAGTGAAGCAAACACCTGGTGCAGCAAGCGAGTTAGCAAGCGAGAATTACCTCCAAGCGTGGTCGTTCGGTACCTCTATTACCCGGGTGAGCAAGAGGGTGGAACCGTCAGAAGGGCAACAGATCCCGTCTGGTCCGTGGACGTTTATCAAGTGGAAAGGCGCACCAGCCAATTTAAACGAGTCAATTCTCGGTGAGTAAAAACGGGTCCCACTTTATATTATCTATTAAACGGGCCAAATAGGAGTTTCGTCAAAGAACAGCTTCAAGTAGTACCCGTGGATATCGAATTACCGACCGAGAAAGCTTTCTAAACGGCAAGTCGAGGCTTGCAGCGACCGGAAAAGCGAGGGGAAGTCCCTTTTGTTTGAGAGCCACGGGGTTAAAGGTCTAGGTTGTTTGTGCGAGGTCTGTGCATGCCGCCGCACTAAGCGAGTTGTTGACAAAAAAAGTGCGCTGGGGCTAAAGGTCAAGGTGAGTGAAGTGGGAAACCCCGGCGCGGGTGGTGGAAAGAGGGTGGAAGGGGATGGAAAAGGGGGAGGGTGGCGCAGAACTGTCTTATCCCTACTACTCAAGCCATGTCTCCATGACGACGCTGCACCAGTAGCAGTCCACGTCCATCCCAAGCTGCCGGCGCCGCAGACAATCTCAGGTTATCACTCATGCAGCTGACGCGTCGACGGCACGCCTGCTAATCCCACTGTCATCATATCACTGCCGCTAGTGCCCGCGTATACATGTGACGCATGGTCATTACTAGAAATTAATAACATATACGACAATCCCAAACATGCAAATTGATTTTAACCCACCCCTGATTTTCACTGAGAGATGGGTATGCTCCTAGGAGGATTCCAAAGTAACATCCAATGAATAGTTAGCAAAGACAAACACTTCGATGTAACAAAAATAGAGCCCTGCTCTTCAGATCAAAGGCCTGGGTAACTGGTATTCCCCAATACAAGTATCAGCCAGGCCACAATTTCACTTTCATCTCAACAAAATAAGAATACTGAATATCATCACACCCCAGACGATGAGCGTCAATGTGAGCACTCACTGTAACTTACATTGTACATGTACAGCGTACAAGTAATAATACACAGTAAATGTTGGAAACCTTGACTATCAACGATTGATCAGGACAAACTCGAAAGCCCAAGGTCTGAAACTTCCAACATCTGTTGCCGACCTCCGCTAAAATGACTTATCCCTCACGTTTTATGCCTTGATGATTCAATTCCTAAACGGTGCTTAATTTTTTTGAGTAAAATTTATCTAATCCCTTCTCGCGTTAAATAGACTCCTAATTTTGGTTAATGTGTTCTGCCCAATTTGAATTATTGGCATGCACTTTTTATGTTCTTAACCATGCAAATAGAAACAAAACATCTGTGTTTTTATTAAGCGGAAAATAAATCTCTGATCCAATCTAATTATGTCAGTGACATAACACTGGGCTCGACTTTTGTGAACGCCACCCTGCTTTTACTGTTGAAAAGGGGGAGCAGGAACGCAAATGTGTCGAAATGTTGGGCTCTAATTATATTCAGCTCAAAAATCACTCCTATCCCGAGTCTAACGGGCACGCAGCAGACTTCACTCCCATCAAACTTGAGTAGCCTCGCACAGCTGAAATATTCCCCTAAGAAGGCATGATTTGCTGACATATTGCTTCTTATTTCTGGAATTTTCTTTTTATCTACATTTCAATGGGCCAAGTGCGAAGTTGGGTCTCTTTATTTGAGCATCTTTGTCTAAAACTTGCCGAAATCAGTAGTTTGTGTGTACTTGGAAAAAATATAACTTATTACATCTACTTCGGTGATTGCCACATGACACTGACATCTCAGATCAACCCTCCTCTATTATTTTTTTGTTTGAAAATACTCACATCGGTTTATGTAACGATATTCATCACAGGTTAAGGTACTTCCTTAAAAAATCATTAACAGTTTTTGAAACATGAAAGTGCACAGCGCTGACAAAGTAAATTTAACAATGTTAACGGTTGCTTCTGAGAAAATTAAGCTTGAGATTTTTAGACAGCATTAAGCTGTCATCTACAAATTGCGTTCCCAGCACACCTTTCCAAAAATTCCTTACTTAAACACGGACCGGGCTAGCTAGACATTCTTCGGAACACCGTTTTTAGTACACAACCTTTCTAATATCACAAAACACTAACGGCTTTTCCACATCCTGAGGTTAATGTCGGTACATCTAAAAAGTACCCGGAGATGTGCCAGCTACAGCTTAACAACATCGTTACACACTTGAGACCTCCGTAACATTTGTTACAGTCTATACGTAATTTTAACACAGCGTTTGTTTGTTTCTTTGTACGTTTTTGGAGAATGAAGTTTTGTTTTATCCATATGGGTTTCTATATTCTTAATTGTGCCAATAGAAATAACACTTCTGTATTTTTGATCTAGCGGGATGCTGCGCTTCCGCTAGTTCTGTCTTAATTCCATCTTAAACGTTTAAAACTGGCCAAGCACTTATTCCTTCACTGTTAATGAGTTGTGACACGCTACGTCTGCACTCATCCTGAGAGTGTGCTATGGCCTACTATGGAGCGTCAAAAGTGGACAACGCCATTTCTCATTTTCTGCAGTAGATTTTCGGGATTTTGGACTTTGCGTATAGCATTTTCAAAAAACGCAATTTTCCACTAACAAAAATTTGGATTTTACTTTAACAACTCTCGTGGCGTGTCAAAAGTAGACAACTAAAAACTTCAAATTCCTACTAGCAAATTTTATTTGATGCTCCAAAAGAAAAAAACTATTTTGTCATTTTCTGCCCGTCGATTTTCGGGTTTTTGAAGTTGCACCACCCCTTTTCATAAAACCCAATTTTCTGCTAGCAGAAGTTGGGATTTTACTTTGACGATGGGGTGGTCCAAAAGTGGACAAGTTCAAAACTGTAACGACCGCAGTGCTCCCTACGCTCAGAATGGAATGGTCTTGGAAGATGGGCAGTCTACATTAACGGTAGAGGGTCAATGGTCCGACGGATGGCGTCGCAATTCGGAAAAAAATGTGGACGATTCCCAATGAGAAACTTGCAAAATACAAAAGGAGCCGTCCAAAGCCTGACAGTCCTTTATGGTAAACTTCATACTTACGACTTACCAGCGCACCGTGTAATTAGAATGAAGATGGCGGCTTGCCGTCGGGAATTTCCATTTTAAATAAATGAGCGCATGGTGATATGTCCCCTAAACGATGCTAGCTGTAATAAACCATTGTATCCATGTCCAGTAGTATAATTAAATTTGTTGTGGAATGATAAAAAGTTGGAATTGAAAAAGTCATGTCAAGAGAAGAAGCTAAGTGCTGTTAAATCAAGTGAACCGAGATTTTCAAAAAGGGGAAAATAGAGAAAGTAAAATGGGAAACATTAAAATGCAACTTGAACTTGTTGAATTAATTTTGGCATCCCACAAATTCCAAAACACGTATTCAGCCGATAATTCCAATCACAAAAAGGATAGCCAAACTTGCAAGTGACGGCCCAGATCATTCATCATATGCATGTACTGTAAAATACATGGATGGTGGATTGTATAACAAATCTTATATCTGAAGATCAGAAAAATTGGTTGCTCACTTTTGCCACTCCACCATAATCAGTCCATAATTTTTGTCAATCTTGGACATATTATTTTCAAAAATTTCATTTAGAATAATACTCCCCTCTAAACTCCCATAAAATTCACATCCTTGACGTAAAAAAGTCTCGATCTTTTCCACAAAATCAGCTAAATAGAGATGGAAATACAAGTTGCATGAAAAGGCCAATCACAGCAAGGGAATGTCCAAATGACACCTGATGCCCGTCAATGGAAGGCGGGTCAATACAATGGGCTGGCTCCGCAAGTTTGCCATACTACATGTACAAAGGTCCGTCACTCTGGCAGCCGGTTCCCAACTGCCGTCTACATTATGAAACATTTTCTGGGTCCGGTGATGCCAATCTCAAGTTCCTAAGACCGTTCCATTCTGAGCTTAGGGAGCACGTCGGTCGTTTCAGTTTTCAACTTGTCCACTTTTGGACCACCCCGTCGCCGTCAAAGTAAAATCCCAATTTCTGCTAGCAAAAAAATGGGTTTTTTGAAAAGGAATGGTGCAACTTCAAAAAACCCGAAAATCTACAAGCAGAAAATGAGAAAATGGGGTTGTCCACTTTTGGAGCATGACAGTAATTTTGCCAGAGGGAATTTGAAATTTTTAGTTGTCCACTTTTGAGGCGCCACGAGAGTTGTTAAAGTAAAATCCAAATTTCTGCTAGTGGAAAATTGCTTTTTTGAAAATGCCACACGCAAAGTCCAAAATCCCGAAAATCTACTAGCAGAAAATGAGAAAATGGGGGTTGTCCACTTTTGACGCTCCATAGGCCTACAAACAAGTGTGTGGATGGAGTCACAAAAACAGACAGTGGACCATGGAAACTTCAAACATGAAAAGCCGCAGAAAAGCAGACATTTCACATGCCTGATGCATAATACGCATTCATCAAACATGATCTTCAACATTTTATACAGCGTCTGAGGCATGTCTACAGCGCATTTTAACACCACAATTCACCCAGAACACATTTTGGGACCAATTACATGTAGATAAATTAGAGTTTTATTCTGAAATCCATTATGATCAGACATGATGAGTAAATGATTTCTTGATGGAAAACTGGAATTCTCTCATGACATAAACCATGGTGAAAATGACTCAAAACTTAAATTAGTTTTATGACCAATTTTATTCGGATGAATTTTTCAGCATCCTGTAGCAGCAACCCACATACAAACAAAAACAACCAACCCAACAAACAAACAACAACCCAACAAACAAATAAACAAACAAACAAAAATCTATTCTATTGCCCACAAATAATGAAACAGTTCTTTTCTGCATCATCTTCATCTTCGTCACCAAAGTCGTCATCATCCTTGTCATGCTTTTGTCCACTCCGAGGTGTTTTACTATCACAGCATTCTCTGTCTCCATTATTTTCTCCTATCATAAGAATCAAATAAGATGCAAAGAGCTTTAACAAAAGCTATACCATTTTAGTCCAAATCCTACTTTGCACTTACGATGAGTACTTCCAAATAAACAAGTAATCACAACAAAGGTATAAGAACATTAATGCTGGTTTATTAATGAGTTAAAACTGAACATGCCCGATTGTAACACATCCCAAACCCGGTTGTTTGGCAGTGGTGTACCCAGGTTCTGAGTGGAGGGAAGGCGGATTAATATGGATTTTAAAAATCCAATATTCAAAGGTCTCATTTGTGAAAAATTCCTCAACATCCCCCTCATTGGAAGATGTTAGTTTCTTAAGTATTGTTGTTTACAGAAAAAAAACCCAAAACAGGGGGGGCCTTGCCCCCCCTTCCAGAC